ATATATATATGTGTGTGTGGCCTTGTTTTCTTTTGCCGGTGGTTGTATGGATGTGTGCGTGTGTAGTCTAATATATACAGGTATCTGTCGTGTACCACTATTAAAGTATGCACCTATTAGATATACATTTGCGAGCGAACATATATACTTCTAAAATATACGACTTTATGTAAGCAATCTAAATTAAATGAATTATATGGACAAAGAGTCTTTCACTATATGCCAGGAACAGGATGTAGTTAAAATAACATTCAGTCTGAACAATATACATACCGAAGTTCTCAAAAGCATGCCATCCACTAGAAAGTCGAACGGTATAGGCTTCTCATTTCCAAGCAAATGGTTCACAATTTCACTCAAAGCATATCGCCTAAGGGTTTCTGGGACAGCAATAGGCGTATCTGTTACAGTGAATTGTGCTTCATCGCTGGGAACGAATCTCACTTGCACCGTGCTTGTAGGCCCGACTTCGGTTGTAGTTGTTGACGACATGTTGACCATCGAAGACAATGTGTCTGTATATTACTTGACTGGAATACTATAGACTAGCAAATAATCGCAGTGCTCTCCTTATTTCTTTGTATACACTCGATGTAGTACTGGGGAAATTGGCAGACTAGATTCTTGCAGTGAATGTATGCGTACCTGCTGTCATAGTACACAGCAACCTCAATTTCAAGTATCATCTATGTAGTCGACATTCCAATAAAATACACGTGCTGTCTATTATCGGTAAAATCGAATTTTATTCTAAAAATAATACTTCTATGGCATTTTCTCACACATTCGCCAAGCAACATAATAAATACATGCATTTGTATTTTGTGGTAATAATATATTAATATTGTAGCATAGACACGTATGTACAAAGTTCAATAGATAAGCTACATTGATCTCATCATAAGCCACATCCACCAACATTGTCATATGTCAATTCAATTTTATGCATAACTACAAAGTATACGGTTGAGTTCATCTCCATCCCACAGGACAGACGATGATGACTCCTTTCTAGCGATTTTTGTTATTCCAATCATAGATGACGGGAAGCATACATAGGGGCACTAAGTAAAGATAAATATATACATCAATATGAATATGTGATCCTATGACAAGTTTACTGAACTCGTCTGTGCCTACATGACTGCTCTTTCATTTAGGTGTTACTGTGGCAGTGTGGTATATATTGTTAGTTCAGGTGCTGAACTGTCGTGTTGATGTGCGCAGATGTAGGATAGACTATACGTAGTCATGTTGCCGCAAGAAGACAGCCTGGGATTCAAACCTCTGTCTTTGGAAAAGACTACTTCACTCACATCAGTCCGGTGATATAGCTGTGCACGCATATACTATTATACGTCCAACAAGCCATCACCAACAATTCATCTGGTTGTTTAACATTTGCGCATGCTTGCCCCCTTCATTTCCATGCCGAGGTGTCTACTTGCACGATAACTACATGTTTAGCACACACTTATATTCGGGCCTACGATTGCACTCAAAAAAGTACGTTTGTTCGCTATTTTCTTCTCTCCGCTTTTAAAGTCGATTGAGTGATAGTTTTGAGTGCTGTCCAATTGCTGTACCAGTTTCTGAAATAGTGTACGTGCTAATGTATACCCTTAATACAGTCGTACGACGGGTTCATCGCAGCATGTATCATGGTGGGGCGAATAATGCAACCCTGGGTGTGTATGGTAATATATATACCTGTTGATATTTATTTTTTTGATATGTAAAACAATCGGCAGAAATACGCTGGCTTGCTTCAGAGTATTGGAACTTGGGAATCGTTGTTTCTGCATCACCGTTGACTTGTGGTGCGAGTCAGGCGAATAGTCACACTGAATACCATAGCAGTATTCAAGACATAATTATTCACAAAAAAAAAAGCTGGTTCTTTATATCCTCAATAGACACAACTAGAACAGTCAATAAAAGTGCCCAGATACTTTTATTTTATTGCCGAATCAATTGGAGTACAAAGCAGAGGATTACTTCATATGAATAGAATCTTGAAGGGTATTCTCAATTCCAGTGTAGTCCAATCGAAGATGACCCATATCAATCTCATAGAGCCAGCACAACACTTGTTGGTTGGTAATATATTATTTCTTGCTTCTCAATCAGAATCACTTTCGGCATTGTCTCCCACCACTGCAGCTCGCACCGATGCGGGAAGCATGCTGTCGTAACTGTATTCAGGTGCGATCGTGGGTGAAATGTGCATGGGAGCCTCGATTCCTATCGAAGACTTCTATGAAGGTTGATATTGTCCCGAGACGAAATTTTCAAAGCTTTCATAGGAATTACTTATTGATATTCTCTTCATTTGAACAACTGATTTTACGCAAATGTGTAGGCAGCTTCCAACGAGAACGGAACATCATATATGAAAAGTGGCGCCGTGGTATGCATACTGATACGGCAATGTTCGTAAGGGAGCAGATCTAGTCGACAATTCATATAGCTATACATAATTCAAAACTGTGGTTTGATTGTGAATCATTGATGTCTTACCGATAGCGATTAAGCCGCTTTTTGACCAGCTTTTGAGTACTGGCTGTGAAATGCAATGTCCAAATAACATCTTCAGGGTACGATTGCGCGACATCGACAATCTCATCTAGCAATGCCGCAAGTCGGCCCATATTTCGGCTAGGGTCGCCTTCTACTCTCTCTTTGCACATATCGATATCTATCAGCTCGGGTGATCTGTATGGGATGTCGCGCAAGGGGAGCAAATGAATCTCTTGGTGGGCATATTCATGATACTACGATCACGATTAGCGATCCTAGTACGAAGTGAACCTCAAATGAACACATATGTATACTCTGCGCTATTTTAGGAAATCTAAGGAATCGTAGGAGTGTGTGCTTTTGACTAGCCGGCATATCGCGCATGCATTATAGAACCAATCTCTAAGAGCAAGTTGGCGGTGCCAATTTCGAAGGAGCGCGTTGCATGTTGTGTAATCTGACATGCGCTCGAGCCAGCCCGGGATGTGTTGCACATCAGAATATCCAGACTCACGTGATGTAACCTCTGAGATGAAATCCGAGTAAGAGATATTTGGCTCCAGCCAGGTACATCTGTAGCCATTTATCGGCGTAGTCAAATTCGTGCGCAAATTTGATCGCTTTCGTACACAACTCCGCCGCATCGTATTTCACTGTGGTCAATGGCGCACCTCCCCTACGTATTTTGAGATCGGAGTCCTTGAAGTCTTTCTGAGTAGTCTCATTGTTGATGCTCACCACGGCTAGCGCTGTGGATAGATCATACTCGATATCGTCAGTGTTCCTGTCCAGGACAGCGTCAGTCTCACTCCCTATAAGCATACCCATTCCTGCTAGGTCATAATAAACTACACGCCTATGAGTTCCAGCGGAATGTGGCCGGTCTCGCTCTGCATACACTCGCTCAAAATCAAATCCGAAACCAGCATGCTCGGGGTAGTCTACATCCTTAGGTTCAACGCGCTGCAGTAGCACTAGATCACCCACTCGGCACACATCTATACGGAAATCCTTCGTGCGGGTCCCTTCCAGAAAGCTGTGTAGTTTGCGAATGTTGTTGCGATCCGAGACAATGTCTACATCCGAGAAGTCGAAGTCGGGCGAGCACAGCATAACACTACGAAAGAGCGGTTCGAGTGGAGCGCTAGGATGGCGCAGATGATTCTCGTCTATGACATTAGTGCCCTGTTCTCGAGTCAACTGGAGGTTGCTTTGGAGGTCCTTCGAGACCACGCCGGGTGCACCAGGAACGACCAATGTACTATCTTTCAGCCAGTTGTAGGATGCCACTGTCTGCAGCCCAGTGATCTCGCATCGTTCTACAGTTTTGTTTATCGAAGACGATGTCCAAGTCTTCTTCGATGTGGAATCGTTATTCATATCGTTATTTGTTCTTCTTCGCTAGAGTTCCTATATTCCCTTACAAAATCAAGTGTGTTGTGTTGCTTGCAACGGCGGTGGATCCTTTTATGTTTTCACAATGTATTATATTTTCTCCTTGTGAGCAGCCTAGTCAATATTGTTGGGATTAATCTAAATGAATCTGATCATTGGCTGTCGTGTTGCATCGGTAGTTTTTTTTCAGCTCCTGACATGCCATTTCATAGTGACAAACTGAGATTAACACGTCAGTGACAGTTTATCTGACTTCTTCGGAGTACGAATGTTTGTGTCAGGGTCAGCATGTTAGTTCTGTACAGCTGTGTGATACAATGATAGCAAAGTTTTGCTTGTTGTACTTGTTGTATGATGTTCTCTTCGTGGGCGATACCTGCTGAGGTATCAGCAGATACAACTAAAAGACTTCCAACGAGTGTGTACACACACCTAGTTTAAAATCGATGTGGAAGTATAATGTGATAGTATTTCAAAATAACACAATGTGCGCCTTGCTAACCGAATACTATAATTCATTGTTTGTTGAGATATTTAAAGCTTCTGAGAAATGCGCTCACATAATATAGACCACATCCATGATCATAGTAGCTAGGTGTGTTGTGGTAGTCAGGTAGACCTCAAATCTTGCATTTAGTATGGTCAATTATGGTCTAACATCATTAAGTGCGGTACCTATGAAGCATGTCTCTGCAATTTCTCGTAAATACATTATAGTTTTTTTGGTCAGGTAGACTGCGATACAAACTGTTCAAGGTCTGTGTGAGCCGATGCTGTGTTGCAACAAATCAACTAAAATAAGATCCTTTTCTTTTAAATGCATGAGGAGACTAGCTGGTAGCCTACTTGTATATATTGTATACACGCTGCATGGACATAGGATAGCCTCATTTGTAGCTGTCCTATACTGTACAATCCGAATGGCCCAGATTCGGGGTTGTTTGGGGTTTGGTATTCAACTTTTGTACAGCAACCTTTATTTTCAGTCTTATATGACTTATTTCTAATGCCTCGCCGCGATATTCTCTTCCGCAGTGCTGGGTGAGAATTGATGACGGATAGCGTCCATATGGTGTTGTAATAGAATCTGACATGTTCAGTACTTATAACAAGCCACGCGATTTATAAGTCGCAACTACTGCCGGTATAAATACTATACATATGTCAAAAATGTAACTACTCAGCCGTAGACAAAGGAAATAGGACCGTATCTTCACAGTAGTATATAAGTTTGATCTCAGAAAAGAATGAATATACCCTTTCGAGAGGCATCGGTATTGATGTCGCACATCTATTGATTTCGCGCGATAAATAAAATCGAGGTCATATCTGGCCTTTAAAGACCATTCCTTCATTCGCTAGCGTTTAACTCTCGCGTCGCCCAAAGCTCATAAACTGTTTACCCAGACAGCTTAGTTTTATAAAAGATATCTCATGCACTTGCACGGCTGTATCTAAATTCACCTCTGAGAACCCAACCCTCGGCCAGGGGCATGCTTCCGAACTCCCACGGGTTCGGCAATTCCCTACAAAGAATAGCGAGTGTGATTGTCAGAGCAATCTCACAGAACCAGAAGTTCAATGTAGTCAGCGCTATAGACTAGTTGGTTCTGAACACAAAAAGGCGCATCGACTGAAGCGGATGACCCATATTTTCAAATAGAAATACAGAGCAGTCATAACTGCTGAGAGCTACAGAATATATATATATATATATATAGATATAATATATATATAATATAAATATATATGTATCA